GAGGCTGAGATCTACGCCGGGGCCATGGCTGCACAGGAGCTACACTGGCTCACCTACCTGCTGACCGACTTGGGAGAGGCGCCTCGTTCTCCTCCAGTTCTGTACGTCGACAACAAGGCCATGCTTGCCTTGTGTCAGGAGCACAGACTGGAGCACAGAACGAAGCACATTGCTCTGCGCTACTTCCTTGCTCGAGAGTTGCAGCAGCGTGGCCAGCTTCGTCTTGCTTACATGGCCTCTCAGGCCAACACTGCTGATGTTTTCACCAAGGCACTTCAGCCTTGTGATCATCAGCGTTTCTGTACTGTTCTAGGCCTTGTACCTACTATGCCTCACTTGCTTACTTCTTGACTCTGCTTGTACTGTACTCTTTATACATATACCTGCATGCTTACACTTGCTAGGTTGTGTTCACTGTATTGTTTGCTCTCCTTTATATAACTCTGCATGTGAACTGGCCTTGTGGCCATTTGCTTGTGCTCAGACTGCATGGTGACTTTGTGATCCACCCTGAGCTTGCTTTGCCTTTCTTGACTGGTCTTGTGACCTCTTGTTCTCCCCCACTTTGCCTATGGGGGTGTGTCAAAATTATATGCTATAGTCTGTTTAGGGTGTAGTGGGGTAGTTCTTATAGGGTACAACACTTTTAGGTTTCCTACTTGTACCCACCTGCTTTCTAGTTCAGTCATTCATTCGTTCACATTCTAACAGTCGGGGCCAGCAGCAGCAGCGTCAGAGCGAGACCCAGTCGCCCCAGCAGCTCCGTGAGTGGTTGGTTCAGCGTGGGCTGGGTTAGGGTTGTGAGAGCTGCCCGTATGTCATTCGCACGGGAGTCTGTGCGGGCCAGACATGCGGGAGGCTTCACACTGAGCACCGCTGCTTCGCCCGCCATGACGACGCCTGGCGTGCTGAGTTTGGTGACGACGTCGAGCGCCCTCGCTGGGCGGAGTTGCTTAGGTCGGGAGTTGCTATCTTTGACCTAGACTATGATGCTATTATCTCTGCCATGTATACTTTGTCTTTTAGTGCTGAGGGTGACTGTTACAGGTGTGTCCCACCTGACCCAAGTATAGCGGCTGCTGCTCTAGGTGCTAGTGCGTCTGGTACTCCCCCTGGTACTGCGCCTGTTGAGGCCTTGCACACCTTCACGTTGGACTCCGGCGGATCGCGCTGTTTCTTTCGTGACAGCACCACTCTCACTCCTCTCCTTGCAACTGTCCCGGTCAGACTGGCTGATCCCTTTGGGGGCCCGGTCGTTGCCCGTTCCTCCACTGTCCTCCCGTGTCCGGCGGTTCCATCCGGCTCACTGTCAAACCTCCGTCCGTCGGGGGTGAGTATGCTCTTGGCACGGACGTCCTTGAGGACAGGCAGGAGGAATTTGAGTGTCTTGCAGCTGCTGTACCTCGTTTCGCTTCCATGCTGCTTGCCCCTGAGGGAGATCCGGATGCTCCAGACATCCCGACCCCGCGCTCTTACGCAGAGGCGATTACGGGTCCTTACTCCTCTCAGTGGCAGACAGTTATGGATGTCGAGATGGCATCGTGGAAGTGCACAGGCACCTACGTCGATGAAGTTCCCCCATCTCGGGCGAACATAGTCGATGGCATGTGGATTTTCAGGGTGAAGCGGCCTGCCTTCAAGGCGCGTTACGTTGCTCGAGGCTTCAGTCAGCGACAGGGAGTTGACTATTTCCAGACCTTCTCCCCCACCCCGAAGATGACAACTCTTCGAGTGTTGCTGCACGTCGCTGCTCTGCGTGACTACGAGTTGCACTCCCTGGACTTCAGCACAGCCTTCCTGCAGGGCAGCCTGCACGAGGAGATCTGGCTGCGCTGACCACCTGGTTTCATTGGGACGTTTCCTGCAGGTACTCAGTGGAGCCTCCGCCGGCCAGTCTATGGTCTCCGCCAGGCGCCTCGCGAGTGGCACGACACACTGAGGACTACACTTGCAGCTCTTGGGTTTGCTCCATCTATTGTAGACCCGTCGCTGTTTCTACGCACCGACACCTCGCTGCCGCCGTTCTACGTCCTCGTGTACGTCGACGACCTCGTCTTTGCCACTGCTGACACTGAGGCACTGACTCTTGTGAAGCCGGAGCTGCAGAAGAGACACACCTGCACTTGCCTGGGTGAACTGCGCAGCTATCTTGGCCTGCAGATCACCCGGGACAGAGCACGGCGCACCATCACACTGACTCAGTCACACATGGTGCACTCGGTCCTTCCGCGCTTCGGGGCTTCCAGTTCTCCTTGCCACAGCTCACTCCTCTGTCTACTAGCCACTCGCTCTCAGCTCCACCTTCGGACGAGTCCGTAGAGCCGAGTGGTCCGTACCCAGAGCTTGTGGGTTGCCTCATGTACCTGATGACTTGCACACGATCTGACCTCGCGTACCCTCTCAGCCTTCTGGCTCGCTACGTGGCTCCCGGTAGGCACCGAAAGGTGCACTGGGATGCTGCGAAGAGGGTACTGCGTTACCTGTGCAGTACGTTGGGCATGGGGCTTGTTCTTGGAGGACGAGGTCCAGTTGTCCTCACTGGTCACGCAGACGCCTCCTGGGTTGACAACTCAGCTACGCAGCGGTCGTCACAGGGTTACACCTTAAGCCTTGGTTCCGGCTTTGTTTCTTGGCAGTCTACCCGCTCGTCTTCGGTTCTCAGCTCCAGTTGTGGGGCTGTGATCTACGCCGGGGCCATGGCTGCTCAGTAGCTACGCTGGCTCACCTGCTTGCTGACCAACTTGGGAGAGCAGCCTCGTTCGCCTCCAGTTCTGTACGTAGACAACAAGGCCATGATTGCCTTGTGTCAGGAGCACAGACTGGAACACAGAACAAAGCACATCGCTCTGCGAGACTTCCTTGCTCGAGAGTTGCAGCAGCGTGGCCAGCTTTGTCTTGCGTACGTGGCCACTCGGGCCAACACTGCTGATGTCTGGTGATCATCAGCACTTTGGTATTGTGTTAGGTCTTGTGCCCACTTTGCCTCACTTGCTTACTGCTTGACTCTGCTTGTACTGTAATCTGTATATATACATGCATGCTTGCAATTGCTTGGGTATGATCACTGTATTGTTTGTTCTCGTTATATAACTCTGCATGTGAACTGGCCTTGTGGCCCTTTGCTTGTGCTTGGACTGTGTGGTGACTTTGTGATCCACCCTGAGCTTGCTTTGATTTTCGTGACTGGTCTTGTGACCACTTGTTCTCCCCCACTTTGCCTATGGGGGTGTGTCAAACTTATATGCTGCACATTGTGTAGTCCGTAGTGGGTAGCCTATATGGGGTACAAAACAAATCAGGGTTAGTACTTGTACTCATCCTGCTGCTAGTTCATCCCATTTTCGTTTGTTATTCTCATAGCAAGTCGACCCATTTTGTATCCACAATGGAAATAGTCAGAAAGAATGTTGGCGGACCCAATTGTGGAATCATTGCAAATATATCACGTCTGCAATCTTCCAAGTACGTGTGCAATCACCTGCGATATACAGAGACTATTGAATTCATTGAACAAAGCATCTTTTTTCTGTAGCGATCGGCGTACGTCAATGTTCATGATGTCTTTAGCCGAATACTGACCAACGTGTGTCAGAATGTATTTGCTGTTTAGACTGCAGTGGGGTACTTTGTAGTGAGTACAACCCAATTTAGGGTTTGCTATTTGTATCCCAACTTCCTATAGTGAAACCACCTCTTTCTCATTCTCCTTTCCAATTCTCTCGACACTCGACTCTCTCGACATCCTTCCTGGCCATGGTTTCTAAGTCACTACTATTCTAACATGGTATCAGAGCAATAAGTTCTAGGACCTAACATCCATGGGCCCACCACCTAATGCCCTGCTAGCCTAGGCCCCGGCCCGTCGCCCCTTGGCGTAGCCCCTAGCCCCTAGGCTCGGCCCCTTGGCCCCGTCGCCCCTAGCTGTGACACTTGGCCCCGTTGGCCCCGTCGCCCCTATTTGCGCCCCTCGGCCCCGCTGGCCCCGTCGACTCCGTCGCCCCACGCCCGGCCCGTACTTAGCCCGCGATTGGCCCGTACCTAGCCCGCGCTCGGCCCCGTTCCTAGCCCCGCGCCCGGCCCTTACCTCGCCCGCGCTTGGCCCCGTACCTAGCCCGCGATCGGCCCGTACCTAGCCTCGCGCCCGGCCCTGTACCTAGCCCGCGCCTGGCCCCGTACCTAGCCCGCGATCGGCCCGTACCTAGCCTCGCGTTCGGCCTCCGTTCCACGCCCAACGCCCGGCCCGTACCTAGCCTCGCGACCGGCCCGTACCCTGCCCGCGCGCGGCCCCGTTCCTAGCCCCGCGCCCGGCCCGTACCTAGCCTCGCGACCGGCCCGTACCCTGCCCGCGCCCGGCCCCGTCTCTCGCCCGCGCTCGGCCCGTACCTAGCCCCGCGCCTGGCCCGTACCTAGCCCAGCGCACGGCCCCGACCCTAGCCAGCACCCGGCCCCGTACCTAGCCCGCGCCCGGCCCCGTGCCTAGCCCGCACCCGGCCTGTACCTGCCCAGCGCCGGGCCCTGTACCTGCCCAGCGCCCGGCCCCGTACCTGCCCAGAGCCCGGCCCCGTACCTGCCCAGCGCCCGGCCCCGTACCTGCCCAGCGCCCGGCCCGTACCTGCCCAGCGCCCGGCCCCGTACCTGCCCAGCGCCCGGCCCGTACCTCGCCCGCGCTTGGCCCCGTACCTAGCCTCGCGCTCGGCCCCGTTCCTAGCCCTGCGCCCGGCCTGTACCTAGCCTCGCGACCGGCCCGTACCCTGCCCGCGCTCGGCCCCGTTCCTAGCCCCGCGCCCGGCCCGTACCTAGCCTCGAAACCGGCCCGTACCCTGCCCGCGCCCGGCCCCGTCTCTCGCCCGCACTCGGCCCGTACCTAGCCCCGCGCCCGGCCCGTACCTAGCCCCGCGCCCGGCCCGTACCTAGCCCAACGCACGGCCCCGACCCTAGCCAGCGCCCGGCCCGTACCTAGCCCGCGCCCGGCCCGTAACCAGCCCGCGCCCGGCCCGTACCTAGACAGCGCCTGGCCCTGTACCTCGCCCGCGCCCGGCCATGTACCCTGCCCGCGCCCGGCCCCGTCTCTTGCCAGTGCCCGGCCCCGTACCTGCCCAGCGCCCGGCCCCGTACCTGCCCAGCGCCCGGCCCCGTACCTGCCCAGCGCCCGGCCCCGTTCCTGCCCAGCGCCCGGCCCCGTACCTGCCCAACGCCCGGCCCCGTACCTGCCCAGCACCCGGCCCCGTCCCTAGCCCAGCACCCGGCCCCGTACCTGCCCAGTGCCTGGCCCCGTCCCTAGCCATGGCCCCGTCGCCCCTAGCCATGGCCCCTCGCGACCTGCCGCCCCTAACCGCGGCCCTGGTGCCCTGTTGCAACATGGTGGGTGAGGGGGTGGCAAGAGGGGGTTCCTCCTGCCCGCGTGCCCTACAGTCGCACGCACAGCTCCGCCCCCGCCCCCCTCCCCTCCCTCCCCCCCCTCCATGGGGATGGCGGGGAGAGGGTGTGAGGGGGTGGCGGATGTGCCTCAGCAGCAGCAGCTGCCGCCACGCCTCCTCCTCTCTCTCTCCCTGCCGCACCTTGTGTTGGGAGAGGGGGGGGAGCTTGGAGGTTCAGAGGGAGGCAGGAGGGGATCTGCACCAGCCCCCCCCCGGACCCCCCTTTCTCCTCCACCCCTGCTGCGGGTGCAGCAGTGGGGGGGAGGGGATCTGCAGCAGCAGTGGGGGGAGGGGATTTGCAGCATCAGCCCCCCCCCCCCCCACCCCCCGCCCCACCCCCCCCCCCCGCCCTTTTCTCCTCTCTCTCTCCCTGCCGCACCCTGTGTTGGGAGGGGGGGGGAGCTTGGAGGTTCAGAGGGAGGCAGGAGGGGATCTGCAGCACCAGCCCCCCCCGCCCCCCCCCCCCTTTTTTCTCCTCCACCCCTGCTGCGGGTGCAGCAGTGGGGGGGGGGAGATCTGCAGCAGCAGTGGGGGGAGGGGATTTGCAGCATCAGCCCCCCCCCCCCCCCCATCCCCCTGCTGCGGGTGCAGCAGTGGGGGGGAGGGGATCTGCAGCAGCAGTGGGGGGGAGGGGAGTTGCAGCATCAGCCCCCCCCCCCCCCCCCCCCCCCACTTCTCCTCCATCCCCCTGCTGCGGGTGCAGCGGTGGGGGGAAGGGGATCTGCAGCCCTGTGCGCCCTGCTGCCCTGTTTGCCCCTCGCGCCCTGCTGTCCTGCTGCCCTGCGCGCCATGCGCGCCCTGCAGCCCTGCGCGCCCCACGCGCCCTGCTGCCCTGCAGCCCTGTGCGCCCTGCTGCCCTGCAGCCCTGTGCGCCCTGCTGCCCTGCTGCTGCCGCTACAGCCCTTGCTGTTGCCGCTACAGCCCTTGCTGTTGCCGCTACAGCCCTTGCTGCTGCCCTGCGCGCCCCGCGCGCCCTGCAGCCCTGCTGCGCCCCGCGCGCCCTGCTGCCCTGCAGCCCTGTGCGCCCTGCTGCCCTGCAGCCCTGTGCGCCCTGCTGCCCTGCAGCCCTGTGCGCCCTGCTGCCCTGTTTGCCCCGCGCGCCCTGCTGCCCTGCAGCCCTGTGCGCCCTGCTGACCTGCTGCCCTGTGCGCCCCGCACGCCCTGCAGCCCTGTGCGCCCTGCGCGCCCTGCAGCCCTGCGCGCCCCGCGCGCCCTGCTGCCCTGCAGCCCTGTGCGCCCTGCTGCCCTGCAGCCCTGTGCGCCCTGCTGCCCTGCTGCTGCCGCTACAGCCCTTGCTGTTGCCGCTACAGCCCTTGCTGCTGCCCTGCGCGCCCTGCGCGCCCTGCAGCCCTGCTGCGCCCCGTGCGCCCTGCAGCCCTGCGCGCCCTGCGCGCCCTGCTGTCCTGCTGCCCTGCGCGCCCTGCGCGCCCCGCGCGCCCTGCTGCCCTGCAGCCCTGTGCGCCCTGCTGCCCTGCAGCCCTGTGCGCCCTGCTGCCCTGTTTGCCCCGCGCGCCCTGCTTCCCTGCAGCCCTGTGCGCCCTGCTGCCCTGCTGCCCTGTGCGCCCTGCGCGCCCTGCAGCCCTGTGCGCCCCGCGCGCCCTGCTGCCCTGCTGCCCTGTGCGCCCTGCTGCCCTGTGCGCCCCATGCGCCCTGCTGCCCTCTGCACGCGCCATGCACAGCCCCCCCCCCCCGCCGCCCCCCCCCCCCTCCCCCTTTCTCCTCCATCAACTGCTGCAGGTGCAGCAGTGGGGGGAGGGTATGGGGGTGGCGGGTGTGTGAACCGTCCCCTGCTCCTCCTCCTCCATCTCCCACTGCTGCAGCTGCCGCTGAGGGGGGTGGGTGTATGGGAGCCGAGGGAGTGGTGCTAGGGGGGTGATGTGGGAGTGGAGCTAGGGGTGCAGCAAGGGGTGTGTGAAAGGGGGGTGGGACAGTTGGGGGAGGTTGAGCGGAGGCTGCCGTCTTGTCGTCTGCAGCATCTGTAGTCCGGGGCTCTGCTTTTGGTAGCTCAGAGAGCCTGCTACGCCTGTCGCCTGTGGGTCCGTTGCTCCTGCCGCTCAGAGTTAGCCGCAGAGCCAATTACTCCTGTAGTCCGGAGATACGGCCCGGGTAGCCACAGTGCGCGCCGCTCCTGTTGCCCGTGTGTCTGCAGCATCCGCCGTCGCCTCCTATCTCCTCTCCTCTCACAGTCCAGCCTCCTCCTCCTCACTTGCCCTTTGTGAATGCCTCTAGCTTTGCTTGTACTTGTGAACTTGCTCTATGACTGCTTGCTCTGCTGAGTATACCCCACTTTGACTATGGGGGTGTGTCAGAATGTATTTGCTGTTTAGCCTGCAATGGGGTACTCTGTAGTGAGTACAACCCAATTTAGGGTTTGCTATTTGTATCCCAACTTCCTATAGTGAAACCACCTCTTTCTCATTCTCCTTTCCAATTCTCTCGACATTCAACTCTCTCGACATCCTTCCTAGCCATGGTTCCTAAGTCACTACTATTCTAACAACGTGCTCAATCATCTCTCTTCGGACGCGAGTACCAATAACATTGTCCATTTGAAGTAATTCCAACTTAAACATTTTGAAGAATATATTGTGTGGGCACGAGGAGAAGCGTGCATCTTGATTAGGTAGCTCCCACTTTGCGATGTCACGATAACTTAACGATGATGTATCAACGCCGGTTAAGCGAGCTTCTCCACAAAATAATGTTGGAAATGCTAGTTTTTTGACAAATTTGTCCATAAGAAAGGGCATCGGTCTTGATCCTTCGCCCGCTGCCATCTCCACGACGAATTGCTCCAGATTTTGGTATAGCGGCTCGTTACAAAGTATCGAATCCAATATGCCAACATTAAGGTCGGATTCGTCGATGTCTAGTACCACCTCCTCGTCCGACAAACCAAGATCTCTCTCACGAGATTGTCCACCATCCGTGTCTTGATCGTGTGATAAGAACTCATCGTGAAGTACTCTATCAATAATCTCTTGTTGTAATTCTAACATCCTTTCCTCATCCAATGTGATTCCATGTTGTTTGAAGAGATATTTCTTTTCAAGGAACGAAATAGCGCGCAAAATCTTCGCAGGCCTCACGTTGTCGTCAAACACGTTGTGTGTATTACACAAATTGCGTTTGAAACGGACGCACACTGAATACGCTTCTTGTGGTAAACAAGGTACTGCGGTCACCATGTCAACAAATTTAATAGGAACATTCACTATCCCGCCCTATATTTTGTACTGTTTTCCCACGTGACTTTGTGTAATGCTTGAAAACACAACACGAGGTGAAATTAACCGCTCCTCCAAATTTGACAATCCCGAAAGATCGTTATGACGCTTCGGTAACAATGCACCTCCCATTCGTGAAAGAATGGGAATCTTTTTACTTGTAATGTCATTTTTGCAACCATTGCAATTATTTCTCAGTTCTTGAAAGTCGGTACTTTCCAATTTGGATAGTTGACGCCCGTCAAAATGGTGAAAGAATGAGTGACTGAACTAGCAAGGAGGTGGGTACAAGTAGGAAACCTTAATGTGTTGTACCCTATATGAACTACCCCACTACAGCCTAGATAGACTATAGCATATAAGTTTGACACACCCCCATAGGCAAAGTGGGGGAGAACAAGAGGTCACAAGACCGGTCAAGAAAGGCAAAGCAAGCTCAGGGTGGATCACAACGTCACCACACATTCTGAGCACAAGCAAATGGCCACAAGGCCAGTTCACATGCAGAGTTATATAAAGGAGAACAAACAATACAATGAACACAACCTAGCAAGTTCACATGCAGGTATAGGTACAGAGATCACAGTACAAGCAGAGTCAAAAGGTAAGCAAGTGAGGCACAGTAGGTACAAGGCCTAGAACAGTACAGAAACGCTGATGATCACAATGCTGAAGTGCCTTGGTGAAAACATCAGCAGTGTTGGCCCGAGAGGCCACGTAAGCAAGATGAAGCTGACCACGCTGCTGCAACTCTCGAGCAAGGAAGTAGCGCAGAGCAATGTGCTTCGTTCTGTGCTCCAGTCTGTGCTCCTGACACAAGGCAAGCATGGCCTTGTTGTCGACGTACAGAACTGGAGGAGAACGAGGCGCCTCTCCCAAGTCGGTCAGCGAGTAGGTGAGCCAGCGTAGCTCATGTGCAGCCATGGCCCCAGCGTAGATCTCAGCCTCACAACTGGAGCTGAGAACAGAAGACGAGCGGGTAGACCGTCAAGAGACAGAACCGGAGCCAAGGCTGAAGGTGTAACCCTGTGACGACCGGTGCGTAGCCAAGTCGTCAACCCAGGAGGTGTCAGCGTGACCAGTGAGGACAACTCGAGCCCGTCCTCCAAGCACGAGCCCCATGCCCGATGTACTGCACAAGTAGCACAACACCCTCTTCGCAGCATCCCAGTGCACCTTTCGGTGCCTACCGGGTGTTGTAATGTGAGGGAATGAATGATTGAACTAGCAAGCAGGTTGGTACAAGTAGCAAACCTAAAAGTGTTGTACCCTATAAGAACTACCCCACTACAGCCTAAACAGACTATAGCATATAAGTTTGACACACCCCCATATAGTTTGACTACTGCATGTGAGGGAGCTGGAGGTACTGCCAATGGCGATACTCGGTCTGGGGGCGCTTGTTCTAGAGGTGTTGGAGCTGGAGGTGCTGGCACTGGTGGTGCTTGTTCTAGGGGTGCTGGAGCTGGAGGTGCTGGCGTTGGTGGCGCTAGTTCTGGGGTTGTTGGAGCTGGAGGTCCTGGCACTGGAGGTGCTAGTTCTGGGGGTGCTGGAGCTGGAGGTGCTGGCGCTGGTGGCGCTAGTTTTGGGGGTACTGGAGCTGGAGGTGCTAGCACTGGTGGTGCTAGTTCTGGGGGTGCTGGAGCTGGAGGTGCTAACGGTGGTGGTGCTACTTCTGGAGGTATTGGAGCTGGAGGTCCTGGCGCTGGTGGTGCTAGTTCTGGGGGTGCTGGAGCAGGAGGTGCTGGCGCTGTAGGAGCTGGTCCTGAGGAGACAAGAGCTGGAGGCACGACTACTGCGGCGCCCCCTGCGCCTCCCCACCGCCACGAAACACGTCTCCAAGCTCTTCGCCGGCTTGAGCGCGAGGAGCAGGAGCGGTTGGAGCAGGAGAGGCAGGAGCTGCAGCAGTTGGAATAGCAGCAGCAGAAGCAGCCGCCGCATTCGCCACTTTTGCAGCAGCTGTTCCCTCCAGTGAGTGGCCTTCAGGCCCTTGGTCTTCCTTCCTCTCCTCCTGTCCACTCCCAGTCTCCTACTGCGTACGGTCCTATGTTTCCTCCTCCGGACCCGACTCCGGCTGTTTTCTCTCCTCCTCTGTCACAGTCGTCTCCTCCTGTTGTCCCCCACGACTGGACCAGTCGTTGTCCTCCGTGTGCTCGGCCCTCGTCTCCTCTTGCCGACCTCCGCACTGTCTTGTTTCGTTCTAGTCCTCGTCGTTCTCCGCCTGTGTCTGTTCTCCCCTCACCTCCTGAGTCGTCTCTCACCGTTTCCTCTCACCCTATCACTGACTACTACCGTGCTGCTCGCCCTGTTGTCTCCCATGTTCTCGCCACTCTTGTCACCAACCCTCATGCCTCTCCGTCGTCTGTCTCGGCTCTTACTGCCGCTGTCGCTGACTTTGCTTCCACCCGCCATCTTGACTACGCCACCCGTGTGGTGGCTGCTCCACCTCCCCGTCCTCTGTCCGTCGAGGGTGTTTCTGCCCTTGGCTGTGACGTCCTAGAGGACAGGCAGTTTGAGCTAGAGTTCTTGGTAGCCGCTTCCCCCTCTCTCTACGCCATGCTGCTTTCCTTTGAGGGAGACACCGACGCCCTATACATACCGACACCTCACACGTACCATGAGGCAGTGTCAGAGGAATGGGCCTCTCAGTGGAAAGCGGCTATGGACTCCGAGTTAGTGTCTTGGAGATCTACAGGCACTTACGTCGACGCAGTTCCCCCTCCCAGGGCGAGCATTGTCGATGGCATGTGGCTCTTCAAGGTGAAGCAGCCGTCTGGTTCACCGCCTGTGTTCAAGGCGCGCTACGTGGCTAGGGGTTTGAGTCAGTGTGAGGGAATTGAATTCTTCCAGACCTTCGCCCCGACCCCGAAGATGACTACTCTTCGGGTGTTACTGCACGTAGCAGCACAGCGAGACTACGAGCTGCACTCCCTCGACTTCTCCACTGCGTCTCTCCGGGGCCACCTACAGGAGGAGATCTGGCTGCGTCGTCCTCCTAGCTTCACTAGCACCTTCCCACCTAGGACCCAGTGGAGCCTGAGGCGACCAGTCTACGGTCTCCGCCAGTCGCCCCGTGAGTGGCAGGATACTCTTCGCTCCACACTTCGTGACCTTGGGTTTCGTCCTTCCTCTGCCGACCCGTCGCTGTTTGTTCACGCTGGTTCCACTCCTTTCTTTATACTAGTTTACGTCGACGACTTGGTATTTGCTACTGTCAACGGGAGTTGTGTTAGGCCCCGTCCTCGCTTGGGCGGAGCCGACCTTGTGGTCGGGTGTACGGGGGAGTACAGCCGACCTTAGCCGACCTGCAGCAGTGGGCGAGCTGGTCGACGAGGGTGGTTGATCTGCGCGGGGGCCACTGCACTGGCGCCGACTTCTGGGCGCCAACTTTGGGGTGGTCGACCTGGTGGTCAACCTG